CCAGCTCTTCGGCCTCCCGCCCGGCCCTGGCCGCAGGGCCGAGCCTATTTTTAGGCCTTTGGGGTCGGGTTGCGGGAAGCTGGGAGCTGGGCTGGTGTCCCCGCGGGCGGGCCGCGCTGGGTGGGAGGACGCCGGCCTCAGCCCCACTTGTTGCGAGGTGTCCAGGCAGCTTGGCGAATCTGCCCCAGCACTGAAGCTGGGAAGTTACTGGTCCTTCCGTGTCGTAGAGAGACGCTCATAGGCAGCGTCGTTAAGAGCAGTAGAACTGCCTTAAGGTTGCAGGTGTAGCCCAGAGGTCAGCCGCTGTAAAAGGGCAAGCTCCTCCCCTGCTGTCATTGGTCTTCGCTGGTAATAATGGGTAGGTCTAGTGTTCAAGCTTGTGTTCCTGAGCCTTTGTCCTGTCCCTTCCTTAATCTTGGAAATCACCCATGTCCTTGCTTCCTGAAATCCTTGAATCCTATTCACCTCAGTAAACTTTATGATCTCCTGGAATCTGGACCACTTTTGAGATAAAACACCACTCCTTGGGCACAGATTAAGTACTTTTGGTGCTGACCGAAAAGTTACTATCTTATGATGTGTTGAAAACAATAGATGCAAGTACCGTCAGAGGTTGATGGACAGGTTGAGTGACAAGTGTCACTGCTCTGAGTTTTCCTAGAGTGTGACTGACAGCCATTTGCCCTCCAAGGGTGGGGTTACCAGTCTTTGTACAACTTAGTCATTGGGCTGCCCCAGAGGGTGGTCCGATGATACCTGCGAAGACCACTGTCAAGTCAGGGGCTGAAGGAGGTGCCCATCCCCTGGACCACACAACACTTCCTCTTACCTCTCAACACGATTTCCACCGCCTTCAGCCTCCACGTTGGAAAACGGACAAAGAAGCACAAGGAAACCCAAGAGAGAAAGAGAAGGAGTTCATAGCTACACAGCCTACCTCCCAAGCTGGACAACAGTCCCCCAAGTGACCCCTGCCACAGTTTGATCCTAAGTGTCTTCTGTTGGCTGTCCACCAACTTGCTGATCTGAAAACACCTTTGGAGATAAAGCCTGCCCCAGAATTGACCCAGGGAAGGACTAGAGAAACCTTAAAGGCTGGGCTGATGTTCTTGGGAGGATAGTGATTGTGCAGCAGGAAAAATAATCCACTTGTTCGCCTGTTATTCTGGCAGCTGTGTTCATTGGAGATTGGTGTGTGTGTCTGTGTGTGGGAGGGGTGCAGAGTAGGGGGGACTGCTTACTTCTTCAAAGAAGACTAGGCAGGTTTGTTGGTGTTTGTGAGGTGGTTCCTAAATTCATTTAACAGTGGTTGGTCACTATTTAGATAGAAATATCAGAGAAGAAAGGCCTCTTTGAGAACATGATATTTGAGCAGAGACTCATAGTGACTCTTGGGGTGGGGCAGAGAAGCTTTTTCTCCAGGTTCAGGAAAAAGTAAGTATAAAAAAAGCTTGAAGCATGGCATACACATAAGCACCAAGTGAAGAATGTGGCCTCTGTTCTCAGCGTGTCTCAGTTGAGGTTGATGATCGCTGGATTTGTGTTCGGCTGGAACTGCAGTACCTTGTAAGAAGAAAGAGGAAATGCGCTTGTTGATCTCTTCATTACCCCTGTTAATTGCCTAAGGTTCTTCTCTTGGTGTTAAGCTATTGTTTAGTCTGAGAATGCAGTATGTCTAGACTCTAATTTGTAATTCATTTTTATAGCTCAATCAGCCTCTAAAGGTTGCCAGACTTCAGCTAAACTATAGTCTTAAACCATTCTTGAAGTGGGTACTTGGGTCCTCGCCCACAAAAGGCTGCTGCTGTATTAATAGAGCACGTCCATCTCAGAGGGGCTGATTTTGCTGAATTACTTTTTGAAAGGGGTCCTTGGGGGAAAGGTTTGATCCAGGTAAAATATTGTAATGAGTCTGGTTTTTCTTTCTTTGTATTAAGATCAGGCCTTTGTGACACTGACTACAAACGATGCCTATGCCAAAGGTGCCCTGGTCCTGGGCTCGTCTCTGAAACAGCACAGGACCACTAGGAGGCTGGTCGTGCTCACCACCCCACAGGTCTCAGACTCCATGAGGTGAGGACCCCGCTGCCCGCCCGCCTGTCCATGGGGCTCTGACATCTTCTCCGCTGTTTCTGGCATCAGCGAGCATTGATGCCAGTTGAGCACTGGGTGGAGAAAGACGAGAATTGCTGAGGGAAGGACTCCTAGGTCTGAAACTGCTTCTTAGCTTTTGGGAGCTGGTCCAGCCCAGCTGCCTCCTGGGAGGAGGTATTGTGCCCACACTCACCCTGACACCAAGAGAGGAAGGAGGACAATCCCTTCACCAAGCCCTCTCTGAGCCACATGAGTGTTCAGCCCCAGCATTCTCTGCCTCAATGCACCTTTAGTAATCAGAGTTCACTTTCACTCCTTTCCCAAAATGCAGCAGGAGCCACATTGTTTCTTGTTTCTAACCAGAGAAACCATCAGGTGACTTCCAAAGAACAGACCACCTTCTCCATTTCTAGCTGACACTTGTAACCTAAAGATCTTTATGTCCAATATAATGCACTAGAATCTTCACCACAGCCCTCTTCACTAAGGGGTTTTGCTGTGGTGGAGCACCCTGAGGGGCCCAAGCTGCTGGTTAATTGGGTTAGTTTGCTTTGATATGTTGAAATTAAATTTTGAAGTACATGAATGGACTCCCTAGTTCCTCACACCGACTTAAAACATATCTGGGCACACTAGCAGCTTTGTGTTGTGTTTATTTTTGTCATCCATGGCCCTTTTAGAAGTTTAAAATGCCCTGTTTGTAACTTTTTCATTAAAGGTAAGCATAGGCCCAGGCCCCTGAAAAGTAGGCATTGTGTGTGTGTACGTATAGCTCTCACACTTACAGCCTTGTTCCTACGTGGTCATTTAGGAGACGCCAAGAAGCCTGTCTCCTGACCTGAATGTCCTAGTTTGTAGTCTGTTGGTGAGGATGTGTATCAGAAACCAAAACTAGTCTTTGATTCCCCCTCACCACCACCACCACCAACTTACTATGGTCAGTGGTGCCCTGACTGTTTCTTTTCTAACAGATCAAGCTTCCTGCATGAACTAGAACACATTTTTGCACAGCTTTGGAGATGGTATAATACCAGTTTTGTCCTGCGTGTCTGACGCTGTTATAAACTTTCAATGATGTGTTCATCATGTTTTTCCTTGTGCTAAGTGTCTTTCTTAAATCTATCCCACTACCCCACCTCAAGAGCTTTCTAAAATAAGATTTTAGTTCATTTTGGGCATGCAGCAGTCTCCTACCTTCAGACTAAAACGAGCCTCTCCTTTATGCCCAAAGTGCTAGGCACATAGTAAACGCTGATTATGTTGGATTTTAAAACAGGGCAGCTACATAACTGAATCCTTTAACTTCTCTTGGGATACAGCGCTTCAGGCAGTTCTTGGTCAGTTGCTCTGACAAAGGTGATTAGTTACAGGATACTTGGCTGATACTATGTCCACACTACTGAGCATCATTTGTAAAAATACACAGCAAGAGTCAACTTCCGTAAAATATAATTGTCAAAATAAATAGGCTTGTAAGATCTACCTCTTACAAAAAACTTTTTTTCTTTTTCTTTTTTTAATTTGCCAGAAGGCACATGTGTTCACTTAAGAGAGAGGGAGAGAGGGAAAGTGAGAAATGGGCATTTGCCAGCTGTAATCCCTTTTTCTTTTTCTCTGCCTCCTTTGGGGATTTTGGGCATGCACACACACCCCTGGTATGTTTTTCAAGCTGCCAGGTCTGGGACTCAACCACACTGTTGGCCATGTGGGATCCAACCATCTTAACCATCATGCCACTGGCTAGCCAGTCAGTCATTTGTTTAAAAGCTGTTTCCACCACCTGTCTGGTGTTCCGTGATTATAATTTGAAAGAAAGACAACTTTTTCTATTATAATAATGTCTTGAGATAAGCACTTGATCCTTACCACGAATAGTTCCTTTTGCTTTAGTGAAGTTAACTGCATATGCCCCTAAGTACCATTTGTCCTGAAATAAACCAGAGCCAATTTAAGGGAGTGTGCTATACCGCAGCGACAGATTGTTCTAGTAATGGATCTTTGGAGTGATAAGGCAGAGGTCTTACATTCGATGGGTTACATGTTCTGAGAAGATGTTATGTGCTGTTTTCTGGATTTTATCTTGACAGGAAAGTTTTAGAGACACTCTTTGATGAAGTCCTCACAGTAGATGTCTTGGACAGTGGTGATTCTGCTCACCTCACCTTAATGAAGAGGCCCGAGTTGGGTGTCACACTGACGAAACTCCACTGCTGGTCACTTACACAGTATTCCAAATGTGTGTTCATGGATGCAGATACTCTGGTGAGTGTGGCTTTGTGAGTCGGAAAGATGTGTGTAGTAATGAAGCCTGTCAGGCATTTGAGGAATGCTGTCAAGGCTTGACAGTAAAGTTCAGATAAAACCTCTGTCACTAAACGTGTCAGGTGATCAAGGGGAGTAGGCCCAGGCTGCCTCTCAGCTGTCATCATCTTTTGTGTTGTATAACACAGGGACAACGTAAGAAGGGTCTGCCACAGCAAAACACTTCTGCAATGTTTTTTCTCCCCTTTGAATCAGGTCCTAGCAAATATTGATGATCTTTTTGAGAGAGAAGAATTGTCGGCAGCACCAGACCCAGGATGGCCTGACTGCTTCAACTCCGGAGTCTTTGTTTATCAGCCTTCAGTTGAAACATACAATCAGTTGTTGCACCTTGCTTCCGAGAAAGGTAGTTTTGATGGTATGTATCTGCTATCTTAATATCCATTAAGCTGGTCATAACTCCCAGGGGTTGCTGTCCTCAGAATACAATTGTAAGTTCTTGGGACCAGCAGTTAGCATAATGGCTATGTCGCTGAACTCCCATGTAGTTGACCATGGTTCAAGTCCCAGACCCGGTGGCTTAAACTCACACCGGGTGCGTGTGCGTGCATGCCCAAAATCCCGAGAGGAGAATAGAGGAGAAAGGATTGCAGTGTGGCAATCCCCCCTGGGGGGTGATTTTTCACTTTCTGCCTCTCTGTCTCTGTCTTTCTGGCGAGTGCATGCGCCCTGTAGCAAAAACCTCTCAAAAAAAAAAAAATGTTAAAAAAAAAAGAATACAATAGTAAGTTCTTGTGCTGGGAAGATACACAAGATACAGCAGTCATTTTAAGTTGTGCTCCTTTTGGAAACACTATTGCGTGTGGTGTGTATAGATGCATCTTTTTATTTTTCTGTAGAGACATAAGATTAAACTAACATAGGCAGTTTTATAGGCTTGCCTTTAAATGGGCTTCGTGCATCTAAATTAGAATGTGATCAGTGTACAATGATCACTATAAGATAAGAAAAGACTATTCAGCAAATAAAAAGAAGTAATATCTTTCCACCTGAGTAAACTTAAGAGAGTTTACTGACACGAGCAACAAGCTTTTTCTCAGTGGAAACTTGAGAAATAGTTTATTGAGTCTTTGTTTCCAAACCCTCGTTTTCCATAAGGCTGTGTATTTAAAATGTGTAACTGTGTCTGTAGCTATGTGTATAAAGGTTCTGAGTATCTGTGATACGGAGCCTTATATCCTTCAGAGAATTTTGGGGGGCCTACATGGTGGCACAGTGGTAAAACATGACCCTCTGCCAGACCAGCTTGCGTGAGAAGATTCCAGGTTTATGTCCAGAGACCTCCTGAGTCTGCTTGATATGCATAAACCCTTGATCTGGCTGAGGGTGGATTGTGGTGTCAAGACTCTGTTAGGGGTGCTGTCTCTCACTGTGTTTCTCTCACTCATGGAAGAAATAACCATTAAGAAAAAAGAGGTTAAATACATTAATAAATAATAAGTAATTATTTATTATAATAAATAAATTAGTAAATGTATTTCCATTTCAGGCCAGTCTCTGAAGTAACACATGAGGGTCTTCAGAAAGTTCAGGAAATACTGGGACATCGGAAAAGTCAGGAAGCATTTTTGCATAGAAAAATATGTGATGACTTTTCCAACCCAATAGGTATATTAGAAAAATACTATGCATAGATTTCATTTTGTTTGCACCAAAATAAACTCATACGTTAATTCCATTTTTCCACAAATTTTTTGAAGTCCCGTCATCAATAATAAGTCTTTAAAGCATTTCGTTGTGATTTTCTGGTTTTCATATATTCTGTGTAAATCTTCATAGGGGACAGTATGGGTTTTTAAAGCATGCATGCAGTATATTAATAATCAAGATTATAGCCATATTCTTCTTCACCATTGAAGATTACCTTTATAATGTGCATATTTGGTAATAGTTCTCCTAGTTTATTTTTTTCTTTTGGGAGGTATGTCAGTTGTCCATATTTTCTGCTCCGCTGTAGTGTACCATTTCGTAACTTCTTCCCTCTATTAAACACACTCTTAGGTCCACTAAAAACTTTCTCCTGAACTCCTCACCCATTCCCAATAAGCCATTTTCTCAGACAAAAGCAACAAAAATTCAAGGCTAGCCCCATGACCTAGTAGTTAAAGGAACTGGATTCTACATGGCAAGGCCTGGCACCAGCGACTTGAAAAACACACCAGGTGCGTGTGTATGCGTGCCCCAAATCCGACAGGATGGAGAAATGGAGCAGAAGGGATAGCAGTGTGACCACGCCCCATCAGCCAATGCTTTCCCCCTCTCTCTCTCTGTTTCTCTGACCAGTGCTTACACCTTCTGGCAATAAAAAAAAAATACACAAAACAAAGCCAGTAGTTAATATGCAAGGACAATTCTTTTTGGAATTATTATTGATGGTTTTTGAACCAAGAAACAACCCAGCATAGACAGAAAGAAGGATACACTCTGAGAAGTTCTCCTAGCAATGACTCAGGCGGGAAACATGGATCCGGGCCAGAGGCCTGAGCTCTGCAGCAGACGCTTTTACCTCTTCCCCTCTTCAAGAGCATATCTGAGATTTGTAGCAAGTAGATCTTTTGTAATTTGCACAGCCTTTCCCAGTTGACATAAAGTTCATCTCTGGGTACCGATATGAGGGTTCATTTAAATGAACTAAGCTAGCAAATTAAAAACCGAAGTCTTACACTTTTTAAATTAAAGGATTAAAAGTCTGTTAGATCACTGAAGTTAAGATTATTGGCAGTTAACACCTTTCAAATTAGACCTAAAAACAGAAATTGGGTTTTTGTTGTTGCTTTTCACAGAAATTGCATTCTGTCTAGTCATTTGGCCGAGAACTGGGGATATGCAGCTATTTGAAATGTCAGTTGAAAAGAATAAGGATGTTTAAGTCTCAGTCTTGTTTCACTCTGTGGCTTGTCCACACTCTGAGCCAGTAGTTCTCAATGAGGAGTGACTTTTGTCTCTCAGGGACATTTGGCCGTGTGTGGAGACATTCTTGGTTGTCACAATGAAGGGAAGGCTGCTCCTGGCTTTGGATAGGTAGAGACCAGAGATGTGGCTAAACATCCTACGGTGTACAAGAGAGCTTTCCCCAGCTATTCTAGTTCTACACCCAGCCAGAACTGTCAACAGTGCCGAGACACAGACTGCCTGTGCCGAGGCATTGCGTGCTCTGAAACAGAGCAGGAATATCTGAACCAGGACAAAGAGCAGCATCTGACAGGAAGTGTGGTTTTGTTTTAAGCACCTTAAGTAAGAGAATAATGTGTTGAGTGTTCACCTTGGTCAAAGCCTAATGAAGCATCTTCATTTTCCTGACATGTTTGATCTTACTATTTTATTTTGTATAAGGAATGAAAGCTGTATTAGAATTTATATTCAAAACACACATTCCTTGTTTTCTACTGCTTTTGTATACCCATACAATTACATTTGATAAAAGGAAGATGAAACAGGAACGAGCAATTGGCATAATGGCTATGTTGCTAGACTCCCATGTAGTTGACTAAAGTTTGCATCGCAGACCTGGTGGCTTAAACTCACACTGGGCATGTGTGCGTGCATGCCCAAGATCCTGAGAGGAGACTGGAGGAGAAGAGATTGCAGTGTGGCTGTCTACCCTGGGAGGTGATTTCTCGCTTTCTGTCTCTCTGTCTCTCTCTGTCTTTCTGGTGAGTGCATGTACCCTATAGCTAAAACCTCTCAAAAAAAAAAAAAAAGAAGAAAAGAAAAAGAAAAAAAAAAAGGGAAGATGAGAGTGTTTTTAGCAGAAGTCTGTAGTTTGTCTTAATCTTCCCGTCAGAGTGGATCTTTCTTCACCTCTTCTGCTCTGATGTGAAGGAAGTAAGTGTATCCTGCCAGAAATTCAGTGTACCTATTTTCAACCTTAGTAGGTCAGTCACATTGTAAAGATCTTTTGACCTGCCAAGTGCCTGAAATCCACATGATTTTAATCATGTAAAGAGAGTCTGATTTCTGACCTAGAAGAGTGTATGTTGTTATTAAAACATTAAAGTTTGACTATGGTAAACTACAATTTTAGAATGCAGAACCAATTAATTCATTGGTGGAGATCAACTTGGGCTCTCTAGGGTGTTCTAGAATCTGAGGTGCTAGAGGAGTCAATGAATTTGTTGTTAGGAGACCAGAATAGGTGCACAGCCCTCAACTAGGGAGCATGCTCTGCTTTTCCAGCCACATCTGAAGCCACGCCAGTGTCTCTGTGCCCGCTGACGCATTTCGATACTCGGCAGCAGGCTCTCCCAGTGCCAGCCTTCCTCTGAGGTATTCCATTTACTACTACTGGCGGGGAAGGACTGAATTTTTCCCGCTAATAGAAATGTTTAACTGAAAGAGTTAAAAAGTCAACTATGATGATAAGAACTTACAGTTAGTTCTCTTACATTAGTTGTTTAAATTCGATAGAAGTCTCAACCAGTAGCTCTCAAATGAAAGGTTATTTTCACATAAGTATGTGTTGCTAAAGCTTTACTGAGCCAAGAAAGCTCACTTCATGCCGTGGGCACCTGCCTGGCTCCGGAGGGGCTTACTGTACCTGGGTGATATAAGGACTGACAGGACTTAGGCTTGATATCGGTAACATATTTTTGTCTTGATAAGGTCATTGTCAAAGGGCGGTAAACTTGCTTTGCCTTGGGTTTTAAATGTTATATTTATATTGTATAAGCATTACAAAAAATAAATTGAAAAATAAATATAATAAAAACTACATTAAAATATTTCATTTAGGTACCTTGCTCTAGGCACTGAGACAAATTTATTTTTCTTTTTTGAGAGATATTTTTTGCTATAGGGTGCATGTACTCACCAGAGAGATAGAAAATGAAAAATCCCTAGGGGATGTCCACACCGCAATCTCTTATTCATTCTCCTCTCAGGATTTTGGGCACACACACACACATGCGCCCAGCATGAGTTTTAAGCTGCCAGGTCTAGGACTTGAACTGTGGTCGACTACATGGGAGTCCAGCAAAGTAACCATTACGCCACCTGCTGGTCCCAAGTTTGTGTCTTTCACCAGTACACATTATTTTCTGTTGGGTCGTTGGAAAAGTCACAACGTGTTTTTCTATGCAAAGATGCATTGTGGCTTTTCCGACAACCCAGTAATATCCACAGATTCCTTTTCTGCAGGGACTTAAGTCCCAGCGTTTTTAGATCAGTATGACAGAGGGCCTGTTTGGCAGGTGGCTATTTCCGTAAATCTCTTGCAAGTCCTGCTTAATTTCTTGCCTGTATCCCACTGAAACCGATGGGGCCTGGTGTCTGCTGACAAGCCATACAGGCCGCTGATGGCTGAGCATTTGCAGCTGCTTCCACAGCCCTTCTGATGGGAAAGAATGTGGCTGTCTTCTT